GTTAGCCAGGTCTCAATCCAGGTTAACAGGAGTCTATTGAATGTGGTTGGACCTAGCTCACAACTTCACTGCTGTTTTTTCCCCACTTCCTTTTATCGGTGACCAACATGGTCAGCAGCAGGACCATATGCCTGCTAGTGTATTCCACTTGAGTTTCAGTCTTGGAAGGGGGTTTGTCTTGAGGGAACCTGACCACTTGCCTTGATGGCTCCCAGGGGAACAACTTGCATGTTCTTACAGTAGTCAATTGGACTGCTGTCATTGTTTTTGATTTTGTTGTTGTTGTTGTTGGTCTTCCTTACAAGAAGTATCTTCTGTTCTTCTAGCTGCTCCATGCTGGTCTGCTTGTCCTTTCAAGTGGAAATTTCCCCTCAGAAGATTCTGGATGGGGATCAGGAGTCCACCCTAGGTCTTGTGCAATGCAAAGTCTCCACAGGGAGCCTCCTGCAAGGCCTTTCTTTTGAGGTGCCTCTGGGTGGACTTGAGTTTCAATCTTTTGGATCATAGTCAAGTGCATTAACCACACCACCCAGGAGCTTTGTTTTCTAGCAGCATAAAACATTTTGGCATTTGGGGATAGTGTATATGTTTAAGTACATGCAGGCTTCACCAACCTGTTAAAGCCCTAGTGGGGCTGTAGAATAAGCACTGGATTGCTAATTGAAAAATGGGCAGTTCAAACCTACCAGCCACTTCTTGGTAGAAAGATGAGGCTTTGGACTCCCATAAAGATTTATAGCCTCAGAAATCCTATAGAGGGCTGCTATGAGTTGGTATCTATTCTAAGGCAGTGGGTTTAGTTTGGTTTTGCTTTGAGTACAAAGGCAGCTATCATAACAAATTAAACACAAATCTCTAGCTGTAACTACTGGTGTAGTAGGTCCAAACTCACAGTTTTCTAACATCAAGAGTCTAAAGACTCATGAAGGTGGGTCTTTTAATGTGAGTAAATGTCCTCTAAGGGTGAGGCTGTTAACCACAAACTCAGCAATTTGAATCTACCTGTGACTCCTCAAGAGAACAGACCTGGCTGTCTGCACCTGTGAAGATTACAGCCTTGGAAACCCAATGGGGCGTTTCTACTCTATCCTACAGAGTCACCACTGTGAGTCAGAGTCACCTCAGTAGCAGGGCTTGGTTTTCTAAATGTCTTCTAGGCATAGCACCTCTTAGGGCTCAGTGTGATCATTTTAATGGTTTGTTCTTGAATCTGTGGGTGAGAAACTCCACCTATTTAAGAACAGCACCTTCATCTTTCCCTGACTGGTGTTATTTGGGAACAAAGATTATTCCTTACCCTGACATTCGTTTTGAGTTGCCCCATGGTTGGCGAAAGCTTACTATCCACCTCTCTAGTGGGTGAGGAAAATGCCGAATGAGGGCTCAAAGTATGGTCGGTCCATGTACTTAGAGCAACACTCTATCTGACACACATACTTTGGGGCCGAGTCTGCCCCACTTTAGTAAGGACATCCTTGGCTGTAAGAAAAGAAGTGTAACCTCTCAAATTTCAGTGAGGTTTTTCCTGAGAATAAAGCAGGCACCCTTAGGGATAATAGATGCTATTGTTGGTCGGTGGCATTGAGTTGATTTTTGACTCATCGCAACTTCGTGTGACAGACTAGAACTGTCCCAAAGGGTTTTCCAAAGTGTCATCTTGACGAAGCACATCGCCGTGCCATTCTCCCTTGGAGTGACTGGGTGGGTTCAAACCATCAACCAGTTGAACACTTAACTATTATGACACCACACTAAGGCACACCTGGTCCTCAGGAGGAACTGGAACACCTCCCTTCATCTTCTGTGGCAAGTATTCCTTCCAGGTACGACAGTTAGGGTAGACGAGTTTTGCAGAGCAACAACCCCACATTCAGTGGATTCAAATGACTGAGATTTCTTACTTCTGCTGGATGCCTGGCATTGCCCTGCTTTATCCTGGCTCTGGGTTCAGACTGACACATCACTACCTAGGGGATTCTTGTGGAGGGAAAAGAGTGTTTTTATTTGCTTATTTGCTTTTTGTGGTTTAATATATATATATATATATATATATAGTTGTTGTTGTTGTTATGTGCTGTGGAGTCGGTTCCGACTCATAGCGACCCTGCACAGGGTTTCCAAGGCTGTTAATCTTTATGGGAGCAGTACGCCTCATCTTTCTCCCACAGAGCAGCTGGTAGTTTCGAACTTCTGACCTTGTGGTTCGCAGAAGGTTCGATTCGTAAATATATATATATGTAAAACAACATTTGCCAATTCCACAGTTTTTACATGTATGATCCTATGACATTGAGTCCATCAATCATGCTGTGCACCCATCACCTGTATCCACTGGTAAGTTTTCCATCACTATTTACAGATACTCGCTGCTTGCTAAACAATAGCACTGTCTCTCCTCCTCACTTCTATTCCTGGTAACTAATAAACTTTGGTCTCTACACATTTGCCTATAGGGTTTCCAAGCAGTGGCTGGTGGTTTGAACCACTGACCTTGAGGACCTTGTGGTTAGCAGTCCAGTGCTTATACTACTGTGCCACACGAGGACTCCAAAATCATCTCATAAAAGCACTTTATCATTTCTTTGCCAAGAATTTAACCCACACTTAAAATTTGTCACAGTGCCCTACCTAACCACAAGGGGTTTAGAAAGTGCAATTGTCACGTGTACCGGTGTCTGGAAGGCACATGGACACCAGTAAAGACTTCTGCAGGTGAGACCTGCTTGTTTCTTATGTTGCTTTCTGCAGTTGGGGAGACAACTCCACATACCTTACTGATCCTGTATCCACTAATATCTGTTTGGTTCTGCCTTTATGTGGAATACTTCGAATCATCAAGAAGCACTTTTTTTTTTCTGAGTGATTTTCCGAACATAAGGGTATGTGTGTTTCTTTATTTTCTTTTTACAGTTCTTATTGTGAATTGAGTGATAGTTTACATGGGAGAACAACTGTTTTACACTCATTGTTTCATTGCAATGATTACAATCCCTCTTTTCATCGTCATTCAACAGTATTTGCTTTTATTTCCTCTGGTTTTTTTTTTTTTTTTGTAGGGGGTGGTGGATGTACACAAAAACACTTTGGAATATATAATCATTTAAACAACCAAAGGGCACATTCTGCAAGCCTGCCTCCTTGCCACTAGCACCTGGCCGCCAGCACACAGCCTTTCTCTTTCCATGAGTCTAGAGTCCTCAGCTGCTCTATTTCTCCATGTCCTCATCTCTGTCTCCATCTCTGGTGTCACTGCTTCTCTGGATAGGGTCCCACATTCTGCTTGCACTCTTTTCCCTTAATGATCCTGGGGTCCTCTGTTCCTGGACTGTAAGATTACTTATTCGCCCTTTTGCTACAAAACTTCTACCTTTACAGTTGTGACAGTCACAATTAGTCATGGTAACAATTTACTATTGAATCATAAGACTCTTATTCCCATCTTTTTTACCAGACCCATCTAGACAAGATGAAAACTATTCAGGTGGGGATTCTACCTTCAAGAAGCACTCTTAATGCACTGGACTGTAAGGTCGGTGGTTCAAATTCACCAGCCATTCCTCAGAAACCCTGTACAGGGTCATTATGAGTCAGAACGGACTCAACAGCACTTAACAACAACAAATGGAGCTTTGGCTGGGCTGTGTGTGTGTGGTTTGTACAAAGCATCAGGGGTTGTGCCAGCGTTTACTAGTATTTCTAGTATTCCCATTCTACACTATTATTGTTGTTAAGTGCTGTCAAGTGCATACCGATTCATAGGGTCTCTGTGTAAGGTTTCCCAGAAGCAGCTGGTGGGTTTGAACTGTCGACCTTATGGTTCGCTGTCTAGTGCTGATCATACAGCACCACATTGTCTTTATTCATGTTTGGGAATTTTTTTTTAAGGCATCTCTGGCTTTTCCTTGGTATATCTTTAAATTCTAAGTGAAGACACACACTTTTTCCTATGAGGTACTCAGTCCTAGAAAAAGCAAAGGCAGTGGATATTTTCCAGAACACAGAAGATACCTAATTCGACTCCACTTGATCTTTGCTTTGACCCAGTCATGTAGACTTTGATACACGTACACAGTAGTATTTGTGTAATTTGACATCTTGCACTTTCACATATGTTTTTGTTAGGTACCATCCAGTCGGTTCGAACTCAGCGATTACATCGCGTTGTTGTTCTTAAGTGCCCTCGATCGGTTTCGACTCATACCAACCCTGTATAGGGTTTCCGAGGAGCAGCTGGTGGATTTGAACCGCCACCTTGTGGTCCAGTACTTATCCTACAGCGCCACACCAGGACTTCTACATCACATTACATAATGCTTATCTGGGACTGAAACCCTAAATCCACTACCATGTACTGCCAACCGCCAAGTTCTTATGGAGGTTTTTTCATTTCTGTACTCAGAGGATTTTATTCGATTTATCTGACCAGCATTTATTTTTTTTTTCTTAAAAAATTTATAAAATCATTTAATTGTGTCAGATCAAAAGGGCGTTGGCGGCTTTCCTAACGTGACCAGGCTCAGGATACTGAAAGCAGGCCAGAGATAGGTTTTCTGTGCCCAGCCCAGAGCTGGCAAAGAATGACTTATCCATGACCCTCTATGGAACGTCACTCCTAGATTTCAAGCTGCGGAGAGGAGGGTCAAAGGGCAGGCGGGCAGGCTGCAGACAACGCCTCTGCGGCTACCTGGAAGCTCATCAGTCACCTGAGTCCTGCCGGTGCCTGGGCTGCCCCAAAGCAGCGACCCGCCACAGCCGTAGGGCCACTCACGGCGGCTCCGGGCTGGGAAACAGCGCCCTCGGCCTCTGAGCCCGCCGCAGAGTCGGAGTCCGCTGCTCAGCCCGCGCCCAGGTACCGCGCGCAGCACCTGCAACAGACCCGCGCCGAGGCGGGGCTTCCCGCGTCCCCTTTAAGAGGCCGCATCACCCGCCCTGACGTCAGGGTGTCTCTCCGCACGAGCCCGCGTCCCGCGCCCGCTCCGCGCCCCCGCGCCCACAGCCCCGGCGGCGGTACGACCAGCGGCCGCCCGGCGAGCGCGCCGCCCCGCTCGGACTTCCTGTGTGTGCCGCAGCCTGCGTCCACGCGTCCTCCCGCACCATGTCGGTGGCCGGGCTCAAGAAGCAGTTCCACAAAGCCACTCAGGTGAGGCGCGTGACAGGTGTGTTGCGGGGCGGTCCCGGGCGGAGCCACGAGGGGCACGCTCGGCCCCGGTGGGAGCAGGGGGCACCTCGGCCAGGACGCACCCCACCTCGTCCGCCTCGCCCGTCGCTGTGGCGGCCCCGGGCATCCTCCGCCTCCTGCTCGGGGAGACGCTGCGGGCACCCACGGGTACCCGGTGTCCCCCCTGGTCTCCCCGCGCGCAGCCCACGCACTGCCGGGAGCGGGCGCGGCGGGGAGGGACGGCGGTGCACTGCCGCGGCGGCGCGAGTGCTGGCGGCGCGGTGGGAGATTATGTAAAGTCGTCTCTTCTCTGGTGACCTTGCGGCGTCGGTGTGTCCGGCCGTCCTGGGATGTGCTGGCGGGAGCGGTGGCCCGCACGGGGTGGCTGCGGAGATGCCCGCCATCCGTGCTTTCGGCCAGTGGTCCCCACTCCCCGCCCCCATGTCGCCTTCCTGCCAGGGTCCTTCAGGGACTCTCTGGCAAGAACTTCTCCCTGGAGAACTCTGTCTTTAAACTCCCTGAAGCCAGGGATTGACTAGCCTGCAGTCTGCATGCCTTTAAGGTTTCCCCTGGGTTCTGCTGTCTTAAAAAAACTAAACAGTTGAAGATTGCAAATTACCATGTATTTCAAAGCATTCTTATTTTTAGTGAGACTTTTATATCTTGGATATGCCTATTTTCTATATGGGGCTAATAGGCTGTGATTATAATAACATTTATTTAATCCAGACTCACTGGGTGAAATTGAAGATTTTTATATATAAGTATTCAATGTAAGTGAATACTTACAATGTGACCTATTTCTTATATAATATGTATGCTTTAAAAAAAAAAAAGTCCTTCTGAAACATGTTCTAATCGAATGGATTTTTAGCTAAGAACTTTGCAGCCTTGCCTTTAAATACTTTCCATCATTTAACCTTAAATATTTTTTCATGGGTTAGCCTTAATTTTAATATTGAGCTTTCCCATACATTTTTAGATGTAGTGAGGTTTTCCCCAGGCTGCCATAATAATGACCCTATTACCAACCACATCCAGAAAGGGATGAGTTAGTACATTCTTGATTAAATTAGAGTGACACCCCCCCCAAAAAAAACAAAAAAAAACAAAAACAGAAACAAAAACCCAAACCCATTTACTATAGAGTTAAATTTGACTCACAGTGGTCCATAGGACAGATTAGAACTTCCCCATAGAGTTTCCAAGTTGTAAATCTTAACAGAAGTAGACTGCTTTATCTTTCTCCTGGGCAGTGGCTGGTGGGTTCCAAACCCTGATTGTTTGCTTAGTAGCTGAGTGCTTTAACCACTATACCACCAGGGCTCCTTAAATTATAGTGACAGTTACGTGAAATTCATTGTGTGTGCATGCATGTGTGCACCCACCTGTGATCACCATAGACTTGAATGTATAGAGTAGGTTATGTTATATTGGTCAGTTTGAGAATGGGGAAAGCTGTTGGGTAAAAAAACACACAATTATTTTCGCTTTCCATATGGGAGCTCATTGTGACTTTTGCCTAAAAAGATGTGTAGCTATAAGTGCATTGTTGTAGTTTTGGGTCTCTAGCAACTTTGTAATTCAAGTGCTTTCACGTTTATGGATCCAACATGTGCTACCCACACACCTGTAGGTAGAGCATCTTTTTGTCAGTTAATCTGTCTTAATCTCGGCACTTGCCACTTTCCTAAAGCACACTTTAGCATGGTATTTACCAACACCATGTTCTTTTTTGACTTTGACTCTGAAGACTTCCTCTTCAGATCACGTTACTTTAAAAGACAACTAGAAGTCTTGGCTTTGGGGTAGAAAAGCCAAACTTTGAGCCCCACACTGCTATCTTTGACCTTGAGTGAATTATCTAACTTCTGAATCTGTTGTTGCTAAAATGAGGCTAGTATCGATTTCCTAGGACTTGTGTGGCGATATGTGAGTTTATATAGTACACACATGAAAAGTGTTCAATACATGATGGCTATTAATCTTAATGCAAGCATTACTGGATAACTACTATCATATAAGTAATAATGACACACGAGGCTATTAGAGAAGCTAGCATGTTTAGCTTTGTGAATCTAGCAAAATTCCATTTTTGCTAAATCCTGAGGTTGTACGTGGTTCTAAAGCTCAGAATAAAAAATTGAATTATGATAGTTCTTAGATGATTGGAGGTCGGCTGTGATGGAATCAGATTACTGTTTATCGCTGTGACTTCAAATGCAGACTCATGGCATCATTATCTTCTTTTTATTGAATAGCCTTACTCTTTAAAGATGAAGCAACCCACACAAATTTACATCCTTTAGTTGATATAACACAACTTTAGGAAACTCTGGACAAAGGGTACTCGTCCTGTGCATATATGAGTATGTGTATTTTTACAGACAAGTAAAGCTATTGCTGGTGTGGAGTTCTGGAGTGGCACTGTCGTATAAGCACTGGCCTACTAACTTCAAGGTTGGTGGTTCAAACCCACTAGCCGCTCTTGAGACCCTATACAGGATCATTCAGAGTCAGAACTAGATGATACTTAGCAGCAACAACATCAAAGTTAGTGCTAATGTTCGCATGTGACAAAGATGTTAGTGGAAATGACCATGTCCTGCCGTTGTAGTTGTAGTCATTTGTTTTCCATACACCTTCCTGAACATGATCTTATCTGCAAATAAACTTGTAGACTTGCATCTATTTCTTCTTGAAAACTGTCTTCCTGGTTTTTTTTTAAAGAAAATAGTAGACATACTGGATCATATCATGTATATACTCATATAAATTGAAAGCCCCACATCACGCTGCCTTCTCTTGAGTTTCCACTGAGCTGAGGTTTCTGTTTCTGTTTGGGGAGGCTGTTGTTGTATTAATAGGATAGTGCATGTTTAGTGTTTGTGGCACAGATTTGGAATCTCTTCAGACACCTCACAATTGTTTTGTCTTTCATTTTATTTTATTTTAAATTATAAATTGAGTGAAGTTTAAAGAGCAGATTAGTTTCCCATTGAATAATTTACACCCAGTTTGTTTCATGACATTGGTTGCAATTCCTTGAACGTAACAGCATTCTTCCCACTTTGTCCCTGGGTTCCCCTTTTCCAATAGTCCTTCTTTTCTGCACCTTCTTGTCTCCTGAAGCTTTATTTTTGGACAAATGCTGCCCTTTTGGCCTCTTACAGTTTGATTGTGCTGCGGAGTACATTCCTTCCTCTGGTAGCTCTGGTACAGCTCCTCTGGTAATTTGTGATATATTCAGTATTCTTCACCAACATCTTAATTGGGGGTGATATTCACTTTACAGGTCTGTGTGTTGTTTGGCTGAAAGTCTGTCCCTGGGGGTGGGCTCAGTTCCTGATTTGAAGGGTATCTATAAAAGCCATTGTCTTGGGGGTTCCACCATCTTTATTAGGCTAATAAGTCTGATCTGTTTTAGGATTTTGAATTTTGTACTGCATTTTTCCCTTCCCTTGTTGTTCAGAACCTTCTATGAATTCAAACAGAGTGATAGTTGGGCACCATCTAGTTCTTCTGGTATCGGGATAATGGAATCTGTGGTCCATTAGTTCTTTAGACTAATTGTTGCCTTGAGTCTTTGATAGTCTTCATTCTTCTTGGCTCCAGACATGGAGAGACCAATAGTTGCATCTTAAATGGCACTTGTTAACTGTTATTGCCCCACTTTGCTACTCATCAGAGTAGTTGTATAACAGAACAAGCAACATGGTCCGGTTGTGCCACCCTCGCAAATGTTCCTATGTTTGAACCCATTGTTGTAGCCATTGTGTCAGTCTGTCTTGTTAAATATCTTTTCTGCATGGATCTTTTACTTTATCAAGCATGATGTCCTTCTTTCTCCAGGCACTATTTGCCTCTGATGATGTGTCTAAAGTATGTGGGATGAATACTACCTTCACTTTTCTAAGGAGCATTCTGGTGGTACTGCTTCCAAGACAGATTTGTTCCTTTTTCTAGTTGTTGCTTATGGTATATTCAGTAGTCTTCACCAACATCTTAATTCAAATACATCAGTTATCTTTGATCTACCTTATTCATTGTCCAGCTTTTTCATGCATATGAGGTGAATGAAAATACAGTGGTTTGAGTCAGATGTCCCTTAGTTTTCAAAGTGTCCTCTTGGCTTTTAAAGCGCACTTTTGCAGCAGATTTGCCCAATGCAGTACATCTTTGATTTCTTGACAGCTGCTTCCATGAGCATTGATTGTGGATACAAGTTAAATTAAATCCTTGATAATTTCAATCTTTTCTCCATTTATCATGATAATTGCTTATTGGTTTAGTAGTGAGGATATTTGTTTTATTTATGTTGTTGTGCAACCCATACTGAAGTATAGTCTTTGATTTTTATCAGTGTGCATACTCAAGTCCTCTTAGCTTTCAGCAAGCACAACTGTGTTATCTGCCTATTGAAGGTTGTTAATGAGTCTTCCTCCAATCCTAATGCTATATTCTTCTTCATAAAGTCCTGTTTCTCAGATTATTTGCTCAGCACACAGATTTGAATAAGCAAATCTTCACCAAAGTAGTATATGTTATTCTTAAGTGCTGTCGAGTCTGGTCCATTGTTAACGACCCTGTATAGCGTTTTCAGAGAGTGGCTGGTGGGTTTGAACAGCCACTTTGTGGTTCAAGTCAACCTTACAGTCTAATGCTTATCCTATAGTGTCATACCAGGACTCTAAAGTAGTATATAGGACATTATATTTGTGTTTCCACTGTGTTATGCTAGTTGACCAAGATGACCTCTGTGACTGTGGTCCGCAGTCCTGAAGTACTCATTCCCTCAAGGTATTTGGATATACGTATCTAAGAAGTTTTCAGAACTTTTTCCCCAGTATCCAATATTCTTGAATGTGTTTGCAGCATATGTAAATGCACATTTAGGAATATGTATTTGTATAACGTATATATACTATCAAAGTGCTCTCTCTCTCTCATGCTTTCTTTCTTTATCTATCTATATACGTATA